AAAGTAATGAAAATTTCGAGACAACCAACCCCAGTCACACTAAAGATAGACCAAAAACAACTAGAGAATGTGAAATGTTTTAAATATTTGGGTAGCTTGTTAACAGATGATGGAAGGTGTACTTGTGAAAATACATCTAGGATTGCCATGGCAAAAGCTGCATTTAGCAAGAAGAAGAATCTTTTTACCAGCAAATTGGACTTAAATTTGAGGAAGAAACTAGTGAAATGCTACATTTGGAGCATAGCTCTGTATGGGGCTGAAACATGGACACTTAGGGCAGTAGATCAGAAACATCTGGAAAGTTTCGAAATGTGGTGTTGGAGAAGGATGGAGAAGATCAGTTGGACCGATTATGTGAGAAATGAAGAAGTGTTAATTAGAGTCAGTGAGCAGAGGAATATCCTACACGAAATAAGAAAACGGAAGGCTAATTGGATTGGTCATGTTTTACGCAGAAACTGCCTTCTAAAAGAAGTTATCGAAGGAAAGATAGAGGGGCGGATAGAAGTGACAAGAAGACGAGGAAGAAGACGTAAGAAGATGCTGGATGACCTTGGGGACAGAAGAGGATACTGTCATTTGAAGGAGAAAGCTCTAGATCGCATTAAATGGAGGAATTGTTTTGGAAGAGACTGTGGACCTGTCGTCTTGACAGATTACTGATGATGATGATCTGACAAATGCAAAAGATCTGATCTGTAGTTGATCTTTTATGTTGAAACCCACAATGATGATCCCCAATAATTTCATATATATATGGGCTTAACCTTGAAAGAAGAATATTGGACAAAATTTTATATGAAGTTGATAGCAGTGATATCCCCCGATAATTACTACAGTCAGTCTTATCACCCTTCTTGTGCACTGGTACAATAATAGACTCCTTCTACTGATCAGGCAATTTTTCCTTATGCCAAATAGAAGTAATTAGATTGTAGATCTTAGAACGTAATATTTCGCCTCCTGCTTGAATAAGTTTTGCCAGAATTTGATCACTACCTGACAATTTATGCTGTTTCAATTTTGCAATAGCACTGTCAAACTCAAAAGGGCTAGGATCAGGTATTAACGGCTCAACTGTATGGATTTCTGTCTTCATAACATCATTGACCCTATGTACATTCAATAACTGATAGAAGTAGTTCCTCCACCTATTCAAAATGTTGTGGGAATCTGCAAACAGATCACAATTCTCATCCTTCACTAAGTTACTGCTAGGCTGGTAACCCGTCCTAAGTCATTTATTCCTCTATACAGGTCTCTAATATTCTTGTTCTTACTGTTCATTACAAGCTCACCAATTTTTTCTTTCAGATATTCCCTCTTTTTGTTCCTGAAATACCTGCTGGTTTCATGTCTTATATTGCTCAGATTATCCCCATTTAACTCGCTTGGATCCTGTAACCATTGCAATTTGGCTTGCTTTCTTTGATCTAATAATTTTGAGCATCCTTCATCGAAGCATGGCTTATGCTTCTTCGATTCATAATAACCTAGACTCTCTTTGGCAGACATTTTTATATTCTCTGTAATAGTTTCTCAAGCTTTATTAACATCCACCTCAGTTTCCAAGGGTCAGCTTCACGCCCTGGCTGCTTTAGGCCCCAGGGAAAGAGCCTGTGGTAACCATTGGATAGGAAGGTTGGGTCGATCCCAGAACTGGTCTGGACTACGTGAAGAGGAGAAAATTCTTGACCCTACCAGGACTCAGAATCTGATCTCCTTGGTCATCCACCCAGTAGCCAGTTGCTATACCGACTACTACACACAAAATAATTAAATTCTGAGTATTGAGCATATTTGAGGTTTCTTCCAGACTGTTTCATTTGCATCAAGTATGTTTTCGAGCGACAACCATTTACAGATGTCCATTTCAATAGTAACATATAGTATGGAATTGCTTAACACATTATTAGTTTCTTCAGTCCGTAGCATCTAGACTTTGCTCTTACTTCATATGTATGCTTGAAGTACATTACTGTTAATAACTGAATTAAAATCACTCCAGTTAAAGATATGTGAAGATCAAGTGAAAGCTGCTAAATTCATCAAATTATAACTACAAATCAAAGAAACGGAAGACAAAATTAACACAAAACTAATGCCTTAAGAAGTAGCCTGGGTTACAGAATATTTCCATTACAATTTTCTCAACATGATAATTCAATTGCAAGTCAGAACAATATGAATATGTGTAATAAATGTGAAGGAATATAGCATGTGATCTGTAGCTTGCATTTTCAATGAAAAGTTAGTTGGCTTTATTATTCTTTATTTTAAAAATACAAGCATTGTAAAGAGATGCATACATGTTTCTGTTAACATTAATATTTTCTCAACACTGAAAGGAGTGACCATTAATTAAAAAAAGTGTTTCAACCTTTCTCTTCATCTGGCACACACTCTTCATTGCTTGGTATATAATGACTCACCATAATACTACCTCTGGCATTATAAATGGAGAATTTATGCTTTAATAGTAACTACCATTTTGAAAAATTTAAAAATAATCCAGTTTTCATCTTTACTGTGAACTTCATGTAGGTGTATCAGTATGTTAAAGCTAGAAGCTGCTACTTCAGCAGCACATATGTGAGTGCATATATACATGTGTGTATGTGTATATATATCTATAAAATGTCTAGGTATTAGTTCTCCAGCCATTCTACCCATGTCTCACATTTCATGTCAACGTCAGACAATGCACAAAGTTCAAGACACAGGAGAAATGCCCCAGAATTAATATCTAGGACATGTGAACCAGGTACCATAATGGTGATTAGTGCAAAACAAAATATTTTGTAATTCTGCAATTTTACACACTTTTAAATTTATGTTCAATAATGAAACTTTCCAATATATTGGCCAATATTAACAACTAAAGCAAATGATAGCAGAATCGGTAGAATACACATATTGTAGGCATGCAGTTACTGATACCAGGAATGGAATATAAATTGTAATAATTAAACACAAGATTGTGTGTATATTGATTCATAAGAACATAGGATGATACTGATGTACAGTATTTCAAGTAATGAAGTTACTAACTTGAAAAAAGCAGTCTTCTGGGATTTGGCACCGTGTATATGTGGTGTTAACCGACGTTTCGGAGGAACGTATCGCCTCCATCTTCAGGGTAGAAGAAAAAATATAAGAATTCTGCANGCTTTCTTCATAGTCACCGCCGTGAAAGCCTCAAATCTTACAAGTTACTAACTTCTTATATTTCATGCTATTATACCCAAAGACTAATTACATTAGCAGAAAAATAATCTGCTGACAGAATTAAGTGTATATGTGACAGGACAGGCCTATAATTTAAAATGCAATTTTGGGGTAATATTTGGAGAGCACTAGAAGCAGCAGCAGCAGCTCTGATTCTGGACAAGGATCAAGATGATGCTGATTCACTACTTTCTTAAACAAACCAAAGTCAATGAAAGCAGTATCAGGTAATTTCAACACATTATGTGGATGCAGTTTCTACTCAGTATGAAATATGAAGATGAGGTTGATAATTTTATATATGTGATCACCTCAGCAGACAAGAGAATTTCGCTTTTGTAGTGGGTGACATACGTCCTTGAAAATTACCAAATCTTACTCATTCAGATTCTCTTATATTATGCTCCACTGAATATTAAACTGAGTTCCTGTAGACCTCAACATGAAAACATAAGGATTCAGTAATAACACACTTTCAGGTTCATGTGTAAGTTCTTCTATGACAAATTAAATTTACCTTATTTTGTAACAGCCCAAGAGACCAACATGTTCCTTTTAAGGAATATGAAAGTTCAACACCATTTTCATAATTTACCATAAAACCGTATTTTGAACTAGGCATTCCCTTCACACGCATTTTCTACAAAGCCCATTTTAATACTGTTCTGTTCACACCTATGTCTCTAAAGTAGTCACTTCCTTAGAGGTTTAGGTTTCTTGATATAATTGTCCTAATGTCAGGTGAAGATTCAAGTTCTTATGACTGTGATTATGAAAATCACTGTCTTCTGGGATGTGATGCCTTGTACTTCGGCAGACGAGTATCAACACTTCACAGAGCTTGTTGCCTTCACCTTTAAGGTAGATGACAGCACTTTTTATCCAGTGGAGAGCACAAATTATAGGCAGATTTACAGCTTTTCTTTGGCACCATATGTGATCATTTATCTGGATACGCGAACCCTTCTCTATAGCATTCACTAATCTACAATATGGAAACCAACATCTGGGTAATTAAGAGCTAAAAATGGCATTTCAAGTGGCAGGCGAATGCAGTAGCTTCAGCTGCAGACGGCATGTTGTCATGAGTATGAATTATCTTATCTGGCACTACTGCAAATGAACTTCCATGAGCTGCTACCAACATACAAGAAAAATAAACTTGCACTTCCTTTCACTGTTACTTGCAGAACCAGTGTCATTGATTCTCACGTTGCTTAATGATGCTGAGGTTATATATTGTACATGTCATGGACAATTAATGATGAACGGTGAATAGGAAAGGATTTTGGAGGTGGTAGATGTGCCTATTTCAAGGTACTATATTTGTCTAGACACTGAGGAGAGGGGGGGGGGAAGAAACCCTCTCAGCTAAGATTTAAACCAGTGCCTCTCAAATACAAGCCAAAAGTTAGAAAAGTTACTACTGTACTAACCTGTTTTGTGGATCAATGATGATGCTCATAAACTGAAAACAACCTTAGGTGTTCAGTAGGCATTCCAGTGTCTACACATATGTATTTGCCATTCTGATCATGTTAAAAACTGGGAAAATAATTTTAAATATAATGTGCATTTACAACTGGAAATGTGTGCTGTTGGTGAAACAAGATACAGTATTTCACAGAGTTTGAAAACATTTCTAATGTAAAATTCTAACTATACTGACACAGTATTAATAATTTCCATTATATGCATCAGAACCTTACAATATACAGCCACCATAAAATCACCTTTGAAGTCTGACATTTGGTTAGCAAAACTGTAAACCAAACTATGTTCAAACTCTGTACTTACTGCAATAAGCTTTATATACTGCTATCATCACAAATTTCACCATCATTTTTACTTGTGGGAAGTGAAACTGTAGCCTTCAGATATCAGTCTATGAAGAAAGATGCTTTTCTTACTTCCTGTACCATTACAAACCACTTCATGTAGCATATAGGCAACTACATTCTCAAGCAGCTCTTCCAATTCCGATGAAATTAAACAGGTCTTTATGAACTTACATAAACAATTTTATTATGTATCCAGATTTATTTTAATTATCATATTTGAATTAATCTGCCTGCAATGCAACAATTAAAAAAATTTTCAGCAATAACTTAATTGGCTTGAAAGGATTCTGATGATGGTGTATACTGTACTTCTTTTGGCTTATTTTGGACTTCATCCATCGTCTGGTATGTAAAAGACAAAAAGACAAAGTCCAGTCATTGAGACCAGCTCTTTCTAACGGGCCCAACTGAGCAGGTTTATCCTTCCCTATCCACCTGAAGACAGAGACAGATCCAGTCTCCGAAACGTCGTGGTTTTTTGTCTTTTACATACCAGACGATGGATGAAGTCCAAAATAAGCCAAAAGAAGTACAATAACTTAATTACTGTTATCTTAAAATATTCTTGAAACAAAATTTTCAAGCAGCAGACTGAGATAAAGGAAAGAAAGTACATCCGATCAAAACTAAGAGTTTGTAATTATAAAAAGTTATATGGTCTTACAAATGCTTGATTGTTGACATAATGAGGCAAATGAAGTTACAGTTCATCTGATAAAAAGGTTGGCTAAAGCTGTGTTGTTTATTAATCCTTAACATGCTACACCAGAGATATCTTGTTACAAACCAGATCTCTACAGACCATGCAAGCTATTTGTAGCCTTTCACAACTGGAAAATATGTTACCAGGGGAACATACAAAAGAACTTGTTCTGGCTAACCTGCATGGAAAACATTAAAAACGATACTGCTGTGCTATGCATTCCCATTAACAATATGACTAAATATAAAAAAGGAGAACCAATTTTTATTCTCAGCAATTTCACATGGGCACTGGAATTTCACGAACATGAAACAGAGAAAACGATCATCTTCTCTGCATGCATAGTAATGATCCACAGAAAAATCATGAAAATGAGTTATCCGCAGCAGACTTAACTGTAGGCATTACTACTGCATAAAAGACAGAAGTAAAGCCTTTGTTAGAAATTGTGTTCTTTCTCAGCTCACCATAGATTTCCACCATCCTGCAGCAATGAAGAGGACAGAGATCTGAGATTCTCAGAACAGTGACTAAGAGTACTTATTTGTTGGGATGTTGGCATTATGTAGTCTGGCAGAAGTTTACTAACATTTCGGAGAAACAAACTGCCTCCATCTTCAGAGTCAAAGAGTAAGTCAAGCAAGCACAAATGATAATATTCATCAGGAAAAGAATGTAAAACATGTCACAATTACAGTTGTCAGGATGGACTTAATTACTTTGCACTTTATCACAACAGTATTTTGTTTTACTGTACACTGCAGAAGTATCATAAACTCTGCTAAAACAGCAAGATTACAGGTCTGAAGAAGAATTATAGTATTATTCAACACTGGCATCTCATGCATCCACTCTGAAAACAGTGTTCTCTACAAAGTAATGGTCAACATAAAACAAAAGGGGAAAAGAAAGCCTCACTTCCCAATATCAGAGATGCATGAGCAGTCTGTAGAGAAAACAGTATATTTTTTTACTGGGTCAAACACGTGTTTTTCAGAAATTACATTTTGAAGAGGCATATCTAAGCTTAATGAATGACAAATTAAACACGGGTTTTAAAAATAAAAGTTAGTACTAATTTTAAGTGAACAAAATTTATTATCAAAGCTAGGGGTCAAATTTGGATCTCCTTGATTTCAAGCTTAATGGTTCTGCCTTATGACACTGAAATATTTGACCTGGGTTACTTTCCATATGTACAGGAGGAGTAGTTTTTGCTTATCCTACAGTACAGTCCACAGCAAAACACATTCAGATTGACGGTCAGAAATATTCAATGTCACTTTATCGCACAGCTGGAAATTTCTAATGTGGCAAAGAGTTTAGCATTTGTTCTTGTAATTTATGTCACAATTTGTAGATGCTTCTCACAATGCAATATCAACAGTGAACAGTTCAGGCAACAAGCAATAAAATCTCACTAACTTAAATGGTATTTCAGTACAGTTGCAAAAGAAAAGAAGAAAAAAAAAACATGGGATTAACTGCAGGAGCAGTCTGATGACATCCCAGTCAGATCTAAACACATTAACAAAACAATATAAAAGTCTCTTACTTTAAACCTTAAAAGCCAAGATCTTCTATTGCTGCCTCTTACAAATAAATATAAGATATCTTTACAAGTTTGATACATTTGGTTTAGAATATTTATTCCAGGGTTCTCTGCATTTCATGTTGCAAATTCATCATTGTACAACTGGAATTATTTGCATTTCATTGTTTTCTTCTTGTGGAATAATACAATTCTGTTTGTCATAGCACAGAATAAGAACAGGGTAAGAAATTAAAAATAAGGAAACAAAAGGAAATGGGTGGGGCAAAAGAATTACAGTAGCTTGTATGGTTTGAACTAAGATATTGTCACGCACACTGCTCACAACACACATACATGCTCACACACACACACACACACACACAGAGTAGTAACAGAAACATTCACTCATATTCTTGTGCATCAATGAACTTGTTTCATCTCTACTTTAATGAGTATTATTTTGAAAATGGGAAGCAATAAAACAAAAAATTACTAATATTGTTTGTTTGTTGTTAAAACTTCTTAAGGTTGGGAACTAATTTATTTTTATTAGCTCCAACTATATTAGTTCTTCATCAACATAAATATTGGTAAAATGTTATGATGATTACAAGTTAAGAATGAATGCAGACTGAAGGTGATGTAACCTTTATTACATTAAACCGTCACATTGGACTTACAAAATCTCATCCACAGGTGTTCTATATGATGGTGAGGCAAAACTCGTTTGGTCTAGTTTTGATCTGATTTGCATTTCACAATTAAACGCCAATGTTCATACAATCAATAAAAGTCTAAACTGTGTCCAGCAGTTATGGTACAAAATTTGAATCACAATTGTTTTTACATGTTATATCCCTACACATTGTGTCCAAGCATATGAATTTGGTAAACAGCTTTTGAAAATGTTTGTAAATTTGAACATCATGAGAAAAGTTACTGATCAGAAAAGAATTTCCTTTAAAAGCTGATACAGTTAGTGGAACAGGAAAGTATAGGTTTACATTTTCCTGAAATTGATCCGATCTGTATATGGAAACGTGTTCTAATTGTGTGCCATGATCAAGACAGGTTGATTTTTACAGGCAGGTTTTCTGTTGCATTAATTTTGTGTATCTGTTAACAGATGGCAACACTATGCAAAATATTCCATTTTAAATATTTTTTGCTTCCTCTATTAGGTGGAGATCTTGTGTAAGTTACTTGATTTTCACAGAGCCAGTAGCACTGTATATGGCAATTAGAGGGTTAATGTGGATGGAAGGTTTGTATATATAATAGTCAAAGATTAAATATTATACCAATGAATTTAACAGAATAGTTCTGCAAACAATCCAATTCCCATTAACTGAACTTTTTGTGACAGGTCATGTTGTGATGACCATTCATACTCTTGGACTGTAGACTCAAGCACAAGCTACACACATGCAAGCAAACACACACTCAGGATGTCCGGAGCTATTCAGGTGACCTTTTCATTCCGACAGGTGAGCAGAGACTGCAGATATGCCAGTTGGACTGGCTTGTGTAGAGAGAGCTGCTCCAGGGCATCTTCTACAGTAAACCATTTGCGCTTACGACCTGACAACATTCACACACACAAAAAAACCACAATAAGGTCTCATCTCTCTGTATGTCTCATGTCCTAAATAGCAGACATTCATAAAATCTGAAAAATATTTGTTGGATGAATTTCATTTTGGTTCATGTTGGTCCACTATAACTCCTACTTTATATGAAGCTCTGATGATACTTTCTTAAATATTTCAAAAGCAGGACACTGTACAGGGAATGCTACGATATTCAAAATATATACTTCATTATAATCTGCTTGCACTTGAGACACATTCTGATGTTGTACATATTTGTCAAAATTTGAAGATGTGAGGTTATGTAGTGTATGTAATATATCTGCACTTCATTAGCTCAGTCAGTGATAAATTTGTATCCTAATAAAAGTACAATGACACTAAGTCAGAGAAATAAATACACATTTGGAAAGAGTGTGAATATGAAATGAATTATTCCTATCCCAATATTACATCTATGATTTCATTTTAGGAGATGTTATGAAGAACCAGTAATAAAAGCTGCATTTTATATCACAGATCCAGAACTCAACTATACCAGTGAAGCTAATATTGTTACTAACACACAAAATACTCTTTCATAACAGATGGTTAACACACTTATTGCCTTGTCATTGTAGACATTTTGGAGTGTGGATTGTAACTGAGCAGCTTTAAAATGCTGTACTGCCCAGATGGTATGGCTTTTGTCAATTTTATGACTGCCAAGCCCTCCATATAACTAAATGCTGGAAATTCCAAGCGTGCTTAGGGGTAAACATAGTTCTTCAGAGAAACTGACAACACTTCCTCAGATTAGATCTTGCACAAACAATTACAGCATACGTCACTTATGAGAGGAAGCTGTAGTAAAGTTGGGGCACCTGTCAGTATTGCCAGACGATCGGCTCCACACAAAGCCAGGCAACAGACCAACTTACTTCATCTCTCTGCTCAGTGTTTGACCAAGTGGACTCATCCACCAAATAGATGGAATAGTGTTCCTGAGGGCACACCACCACTCATTACAAGAGTTATACCTTCAAATGATCATACGTGTGGATGATATGAAAGCCTGTTCTTTTCTCTACATGTTGATATACCATACTGACACCATTTACTGGAGGAAATACCGTACTAAGTGATAAACAGCAAGCCAATCTCGCTGGCTGTGGCAGTTTTAATCCAAATGCTTTAATCTGATATAATCAGCTTGTGGTGTGCAAAGGTCAGTCAGTATATGATCAGCTAAGGTCTGCTTCTGGTAGAAGCAGAATTAATTTCTTCACCATGCTCACACCCATTCCAGAACCCAATCAGCCTTCTACACAACTGGTTCCCAGGATATTTTCCTGGGAGTACAGCAGTGTCCAGAATCAGAAAATAACTACTCACCTTCTCCTAGTTCTGATGTCTAATAAGGTTATTTCTTGAAAAGATTACTGTTGCACAGATGGCTAAGAAATTTCCTGATTTTTATAAAAACCATAAGTTTATCAGCAGTATTATATTTAAGCATCCTGTTGCACCCTATACGATAAATCATATGAACTCCGTCCCAAATGCAAACAATATATTATATGTCCTTGATCTTTCTCTCCTTTCACTACACGTTTCTGCCTCAAACGGCCATCATCAGGTGTATACACTCACGTTGCTGTTAGTTTAAAATTTAACATTTAAAAACACATTGTTCCTTTCGTTGTTATTATCAACATCTACTTCGTTGATATCTGTCTGGTTTATAGATTATTTTTGTTACACATGTTAGCACTTAGTAGTAAAGAACAGCAGCGGCACGCACACAGGGAGACTACACAAAATAACACCTGTACAGTGCTGGAAACAAGAACTAGCCACTACAGCACTATAGAAATAGGGCGAGTAACCCTGACAATTTTAAATTTTAAAACTTGAGAAAAATTTTAAAGGATTTTAAAATTAGAACTAGAGATTTTATAATTGCTAACGTGTGTAACAAAAATAATCTATAAACCAGACAGATATCAACGAAGTAGATGTTGATAATAACAACGAAAGGAACAATGTGTTTTTAAATGTTAAATTTTAAACTAAGTGAAGTGTAACAGCAACGTGAGTGTATACACCTGATGATGGCCATTTGAGGCCGAAACATGTAGTGTAAAGGAGAGCAAGATCAAGGGCATATAATATATTGTTTGCATTTGGGACGGAGTTCATATCATTTATCGTATTTTATCAACAGTGTTCATGATACCATACGGTACCACTGGACCCTATGTGAATGTTAGTTCAATTCAGTCCACACTCTCACAACCGACTTCCTTAATATATATTTTATATCAATCTACATCCATGTCTCCCAAGTGATCTCTTCCCTCCAGTAATCTCAAATACAATTTTGTATTAATTTATAATCTCCCCATGTGGTGCTGCATGCTCTGTCAATCTCACCCTCCTCCATTTAGTGACCCCCACCAAAATGATGTGATTATTACAATTCCTGAAGAACTGTAATATATAATTTTGTTCACCTTCCTGCTACTTAACCTTTCTTAAGTCACATCTTTCTCAGCTCTTAGTTTGCGAACACCCACTATGTACTTCAATTACACCGAAAACCTGAGTATAATACCCATCTAATAACATAGTATTCACAGACTCTAATGTTTTAAGAGTAACTGATAGAGTTACTCTGTTGTACAGATGTTGGCCATCCACATCTCTTAACTTAAATTTCTCTTCTGACTATTCATCCTCAGTGATTTCAGATGTTATATAATGTTGACATTTTAAGTAGTTTTATGATTTCCAATACTCATACTCTACCCATGCTCTTGGCATCCTCCCACTCGGCCAGCTCCTCTGTTACAACGAGTACAAACACTTCTGTCCGGTGTTTCCGCTCGCTGTTCTGAAACACCAAATGACATAACAAGTGAAAATAATTAGCACAACATATAAAATGAAATCTTGCTGAGTGAAAGTTGCAGCCAAGAAAGCAGCTAGTAGCATCTGCATTTCACAGTATATCTGGGGGTGTTCTGAAAATTCATGTTAACAATAAGAAGTTCGGAGGTAAATTCATAGTTTTGCAATTTAGTGATCCATTCAGAAGCCTACTTCCACTAGTACAGGATCAGAATGCGTTCAGCTTCTCAGATATAACCGTGAAGTTTCACACTATCAACTTGCCTGTAATTGTGGGATCTGAGGTTCTCTCAGCAGTGCTGGTTATGAATAATTCTGTTTTCTGGGATAAAACATCATATAGTCTACTAAAGTTCACCCAGTATTTCAGATGAACATGTCACCTCTATCTTCAGGGCCGAAGTGTAAGGCAAACAAGAGGCCAAGCAAATGTCAGCTGATATTACAGACTAGATGGCGTTATATCCCGCGAGGCAGAAGTCTTCATGTCTGTACTTGTTGTATTAGGCATGTTCTTTGATGTATCAGTTGTAATTCCCTGTAGCTCTGTAATTTATGAAAGTGAAAACCCGGCACACACAGAACACATAGCTTTGATAGTGCAACACAAATCTGTGTTGTTTGTTGAGTAATTTAACGACACTTTCCCAACCGAAGAGGTTATATAGCGTCAAATAGTAGGTTGGCTGTGGGAGATGCTGTCCTGGCTTATCCAATGTCCTGCCACAGTCTTTCCTTGAAGGTCTGCGGAAGACCATGCCAAGTCAAGTCGGCATTGATGAAATTCGAGCCAAATACTATACTGAGCCTTGGAACTTACACATTTAACGCTATGCCTGGAGCACAGGCAACTTATCGGGCATAGAGATAGTATGGGTTGCATATGCAAGTTTGCCGGTCGGTGGGAATTTCAGATTTCGTGGCGGGAAATGAGAGGAAACAAAAAAAAAAACATCCGTGGTTTCAGTCCGCAAGAGAACTATATCGACCGAGCGACCGCCGCTTGTCGGTGAGGTTGGTGCCAACTTTAGCTGATAGAGGGTCTCACGTGGTCAGCGCAACGAATCCCCACGGCCGTTAATCTCGGTTTTCTAGACCGAACCCGCTATTTCCTTGAGACAGCTCCTCAGTTATCCTCACAAGGCTGAGTGGACGCCGTTCTAGACCCACTACTTCTCAGAAAATGTGGTGGCGCCGGGAATAGAAACCGGGACCTCTGGATCTGTAGCCAGGAACTCTGACCACTAGACCACTATCCATGCTATAGTCTCCAGAGACCGAGTGAAATAAGTAAACACATACCAGGATAACCAGCATGTCTAACCTGTCCGAGATTCTCCAGTACATCTCAAACGCAAATTCACGTCAGTGTTACACCAATATCACGTCTTCAATCGACAAAGTGGTTTGATTTATTTTATACAGTATCGAATGAAATTAGAATGAAAAATGAACTGAAAATGGTGTGAAAGAAAGTTGCTATGACGTATTTTAAGGTTACATCTTTGCATTTGACTGGAGGGACAGAGTATAACGATGAAAGATTGAAGGATTGCTGGTCTCCAAGCCGAGACTCGAACTTAACATTTACCGAATGTAAAGCGACCAGAGCATTAGACTAAGAATCAACCGTGGCTATAGGATCGAGAGAAGATTTCTTGTGTAGGAGACCAGAATTCAGCGGTTTGGTTCAGGTAAGGAAAGAAAAGTTCCAAACACCTCTAAAGAGAATCGACTGTCAAGTGTTTTAAGTCCAGGGGGTTGGTCTGGACCTGGTCCAGTGATTGAGACTAGCTCTTTCTAACGGGCCAAACTGAGTAGGTTTATCCTGCCCCATCCACCTGAGGACGGAGACAGCTCCAGTCTCCGAAACGTTGTGGTCTTTTTGTCTTCATACCAGACGATGGATAGAGTCCAAAATAAGCTTAATAGTTCTGTACAACATAATACTGTACATCCGAACTTCCAGGCATTCGACAGAACTACAAGTGTTTTGAATCACAGCGACCACATGCAGCCAGGGGCAGTGCAAGAGCTGGAATACCTACCAAACATATACAGAGTTAACACGTATCGAACATCACGTGGTAACATAAAGTCTGACACTTGTAATAAACGACATAGTTACCTCTGTGCTTAATTATATATTTAAGCATTACACCATGATGGCACATGGGGGAGTTGAGGTATGGCTCCACCATTCTTAACCTCGGCACTAGATGGAATTTACTAGCCACCTTCACGCCCCTGCCGCTTTCCCTCGGGGAAAGAAACCTTGGTAACCAATGGACAAAGGGCTGGGTGGGCCACAGACACGGTCTAGACTACACGAAGAAGATAAAATATACTGCCCTTACGGAGAATGGAACCCCGGTAGTCGAGTGCATAGCCTAATCGCGCTACCGACTGGGCTATCCCAACTCCGACAGCTAAGTTTACTGTCTGAATGTTCGCATGTCGTGTCTTGCCTCTTACTTACTTACTTACTTACTTACTTATCGAGCTGAGCCCTTCTTGAGAAGCCAAATCTGCAGCTACCCAAGAATTTCCCAGCATTTTATGGAACCCGAAGGTTCATCACCGTGTTCACAAGAGCCCTCCACTGGTCCCTATCCTAAGCTAGATCAATCCAATCCATGCCATCCCATCTCTCTAAGATCCATTTTAATATTGTCCACCCACCTGCGCCTTGGTCTTTCCAGTGGTCCATTTCCTTCTGGCTTTCCCACCAATATCCTATATGCATTCCTTTTCTCCCCCATTCGTGCTACATGCCCGTCCCACCTCATCCTCCTTGACTTGATCATTCTAATTATACCTGGAGAAGAGTACAAGTTATGTAGCTCCTCATTATGCAGTTTTCTCCAGCCTCCTGTCACTTCATCCCTCTTCGGTCCAAATATTCTCTTCAGTACCCTGTTCTCAAACACCCTCAGTCTATGTTCCTCCCTTAATGTCAGAGACCAAGTTTCACACCCACACAGAACCACAGGCAAAGTTATGGTTTTGTATATTCTAATTTTTATGGTTTTGGACAGCAGACAAAAAGACAAAAGGTTCTGGACTGAATGGTAGCAAGCATTACCCAATTTCGATCTTCTCTTAATTTCCTCTCGCCTCACTGCTCCAAAATAAATGTATAAAACTGTAAAGATCATTTCTGCTCATCCTGTATACCGGCAGTTAAACGCCTTGGCAAGTGAACGTGTCCGGAGAATGTTGACTCTAGACGGCCGGTTATCATGAACTGTTGCCCGGTACACCACTCACAACGGTTGCCAGTTCTCACGATACCCAAGCACCACGCGGACAGCCACATGCGGTAACGTTACGAGCGACAGACGATGTCTGATCACTGACCTATAATACTACAATACTACCTATATACCTATAATACTACTTATAATACCTACAATACTACTACCACCATGACTGTGTGCCTATGCTCTCAACCCTCCAGAAGTGAGTTTCATTAAACTTGGTATGAATATTGTGCCACTAGCGGTTACTATAGATTTGTGCTTCATGGCGGATGTATGACTTTTTTTTTCAGGTGAAAGCGATAGCAGTGACACTTCCGACGTTTTCTTATGGCAACAGAGAAAAATTACATCCTTTGAGTCCTTTTTGAAAATGCAAAACAACAGAGCAGTTGCGTGAAATGTACATTAAGAAGTTTGTTGGTTTCAAACGTACTGAATTTTGTGTAAAATCATATCTATTACGTATAACGTTTACACGAAAGTGAAACTCTGCGGTTATGCATGACAAATGAAACAGTAAATGATCTGTACCAATGGGACTTATGTATCGAAATGCATAACTAAGTTACATAATTATTCATTTATGCTCCTTCTCGACACTCTCAGTTAAAATAACACAACAGAATTGATTTGGTTTTGAAATTCGTATAAAAAAAAACCTCCGTGGCTTCAGTTCGCAAGCGAACTATACCGACCGAGCGACCGCAGCTTGTCGGCGAAGTTAGTGCCGACTTTAGCGGATAGAGGGTGTCGCGTGGTCAGAGCTACGAATCCCCACGGCCGTTAATTTCGGTTCTCTAGATCAGAGCCGCTATTTCCTTGAAATACTTCCTCAATTATCCTCACGAGGCTGTGAACCCTGTTCCAGATTCACTACTTCCCAGAAAATCTGGTAGCGCCGGGAATCGAACCCGGGACACTGGATCTGTAGTCAGGAACTCTGACCACTAGACCACATAGGCGGTCTTCGTAATTTGTATAGAGTTATTAAATAAAGGATAAACTGGACTGCCATGTTCCATGCATTAGGAAGAAAGATGTACGTATACAATTTCTATCGTTAAACACCAATGGAAAATACACTTGGGGTACTGATACATGGCGGATAATATTAAAACTGATCTTAAGCACAGAAAACCCTGTAAAGTAGGCCATCTGCCATTGTCGGCAACATCTTTACGGAACTCGCGAAATCGTGTTAATTTACACATGATCAACCCTCATGAACTTGGCCACCAATGTACCTTCCAGCTTACCAGTCTTCTTTAATTTCATGCTATGGTTCCGTATAAAGGCCTAAGTTAATATTTCTATGTTAGTGCAAAATTAAAATGACTGCCTTTCTTGTATCAGTCTGTACAGATGACAGCCTCTGTACCTATCTGTTCCTAGTACGAACCTGCCAAATATCCTTCCTGCACATTCTTTGCGATCAATAGACAAATGGAATTCTGGCAACAAGGTACCCACGCAAATTTTCTGTTAAATGACTTGGTAGAAATATTTGGAATTTCCAAGAAGTGTACTCACCGGACCTGTGGACTTCCGCCCTGTTTTCCTATATATAGTTCTAGCCAGCTTTCCCAGCAGGGAAGGGAATTTTTGGACGTTGCAAGTGAAGGCCAGTGATGCAGCCTACCTACTTTTGTACCTGTGGGCATACTCTGTCAAAAGCATCTTTGCGGGTACATCATACTTTATGTTGGTGATCTCTAACTTC